GTCTTCGAAAAGTGGACCTCTTGGTGCGAAGTGAAATCTCAAAGGTACCTAGTAATTTTTGTTAGGCAGCTGAGTAATATTCTAATAAATCACTCTGTCATAGTACATGTCTATAGGCAACAGTTACCACTTTCTATCAGGTGGGCTGTCAGCTTGTTTGCCATTCTAAGTTGTATAAAAAAAAAAAAAAAAAAAACTTCTCAATTTAATTAACATAGTATCAAAATTATTCATATCACTACACTACTCGCGTATATATTTCCTCGATAGGGATGTAAAATGTGTAAAGTTCTTATGTTCATAGAAATTTCAAATACAATCTGTTTGGAAATGTTAATTCACAAACTCTTTTTAAATTTATGTTTTTGTATTCAGAATGCTGTTCTAAGTATTGATGCTTTTTTTACAGTCTTATTTTCTTTAAATTTTTTTTAAATAGGTATCATCATCATATCTACCGTTAACTGTCCACTGCTGAACATAGGGCTCCCCCTATTGGGGGGTTTTGCTAGTAATTGTTGCACATCCCTCGACAGTTATGTTTCCATAGTTGCCTTTTACGACATCGTCGGGAAAAGAATGGATTACTCTTTATATGTTGGAACCACACGGCGATATACATATATTAAGTTACAAAGTTATTCTTCAGCAATTTATTTCTAACAAATAAAGGACAAATTTTATTATTTTTATTCTACATATTCCCATGTATTGATGTGTATAATACATGTTGTGTATTAGTATTATTTGTACAATCAAATTTATTAATTTTAAACTTATTTTTATTTTCATAATATTTCCTTCTTGCTCTTAATGATAACAATGTATTTTGTCTATGTTGTTTCACAAAGATCGTAAAGTAACTTTGCTTATTCTGCTGAAGGTAATTCGAATACCTTGCATGTAAAGTTTTACAAAGAATCTTTATGAGTTTTAACGAGAATGTTTGTCTATGGTTTATTTAAGTTTGTTTCTTTACAGAATTCAGAGGGTAAAAAGGCAAAAACTTGTTTAAATAAAAAGTCGTATCAGACATTATAATAGGTAAAGTTTGTTTGTAAATGATAAAAATCTTGTACTTTTCAAGCAACTTTCAAAGAGGTTCCCAATTTGTGTGTGTTTTTTTATGCCAATTATTTTTTTTTTTTAATTATTCTTTTAGCAATTTGTAATATGAGAACAGACTCGTACTATACTTCTATTAATTTCATATTCTTTTTTTTTATACAACTTAGAATAGCAAACAAGCTGACGGCCCACCTGATGGAAAATGGTAACCGTCGCCTATAGACATGAGCAGTACTATGGACATAACAGAGTATACTGTTTCGCCCATGATACCCCCATGCATTGCCATTCCTGAGGACTCAGGTGTTATACCTCTGTACCCTGTAAATTCACGCCATATCCCATCCTTTAAACCGAAACACAATCATGCAAACACAACTGCTCCACGGTAGAAACACGAATGGGACAGAGGTGGGTACCTCTGTAGCAATCGACTTTTGTACAAAGTCTCGTCATGAAAGTGATAATTTGTGAGATTATTTCATATATTATTGTAGTGATTACATAGCATAGTCACATATGTAATAATTTTTTTTCATAGTTAACATCATTTGCCCCTTTTATTTAATCATCATCATTATCATATCAGCTGTTAACTGTCCACTGCTAAACATAGACCTCTCCCATAAGAAGGGTTTTGCCAGCAGTTTCCACGCTTGGCAGGTGGAATTTTTAATTTAATGTATTGTAAGAATCATATGTTGTTAATAAAGTAAAAATAAATAAATAAACGTTAAATATTAATTTTATCATTATTAAAGCCTTTTTTCATGGAGTAAATTTACATAAAGTAAACATATGAAAATATCTGACCTAATCACCCCATGAAGATCATGTTTTTGTTCCGTATGTTATTATTAACAAAACTTTTTGAACAAATAAAGGCTTTTATCTCTAAACCTAATGGAATTTTATTAGTTAATTGAATTACCTGTATAAAGTAATATCCTTTGACTAGATTATTATTTGAAGAGGAAAGCTACACGCAGTATAATGAAATTTAATTACCCACAACACCCTGTGTATGTAGCTTTGGAGGCTAATAAATCTACCTACGTAGCATGTTAATAATATACCAACAAAATTTGTGGTTAGTATAAATTTGCAGAAAGTTATTCCGAGGTCTGCTTATAGCGAAAGTTTTGCAATTAACTTTAAGAACTCATTGAATTAATAAGGGGCTAATTTAAATAACGGTTGTACGAAAATAATCATAAACATTGCCGTTAATCCCGGAGACGACGAAACAAGGACCACCAAATAAGGTCTGAGTTAGAATAATTTTTGTGTTGATTTTACATTAATCGCTACATAGTATAAATCGAAGTCGCTGTCGTTGTCTGTCCGTCCCTATGTATGCTTAGATCTTTAAAACTACGCAACAGATTTTGATGCGGTTCCTTTTAATAGATAGAGTGATTCAAGAGGAAAATTTTATATGTATAATACACGTGTAATATAGTGGAGAAACACTGATAATTTTAGAGGTTTCAAATGTAATGTCATAATGTAATGGGGGTCCGGAGGCACTATTTAGTATCAGTATTGCACCCGTGCGAAACCGGGGCGGGTTGCTAGTAAAGTATAAAGTTAAAAATGAAGATAGGTACTCGTAGAACTGCACACTAAATCTTATTACTAAAAGAGGGATCGTAAGTTTGCAATATTTGACAGTGTATCAATATGTGATATTACTACGCTTCGCTGTAGTATTTGAGAAGACATGAGCCGATTTCAATGCATTACCATAGTACGAATAAAACTCAAATAAAAATTGTATTCTGTCATTAAAGATGAGAAATTATTTTAATCTTGACGATAAACTAATGTTATATTAAAAAAAAAATGTCATATAAAAAGAAACAGTGACCGTTTATCATCAGACGGCCTGTATGCATATTTGCCACAAAATTAGCATTTTTTGTGGGTTTCAAATTATTATTTTTTTCTAATTGAAATAAAAAATCTTATCGATAGTAAAAAGAATCCATTTCAGAACTGATATAGATTGAATTATAAAAAAAAAAGAGTTTAAATAAATAATAAATTATTAAAAATAAAATATGTTTACCTATTATTAAACGCAATAATATGTATAATTAAATGCAAATATTTTAGCTTTGTTTTTTGAAAGCATTGTAGATTTTACTATTTGAGCTGTGACCATTTTCTGATACTGTAACACACAAAAGGTATTTCATTTATATTTTTTATCTTTTTTTTACGTATTTTTACTTTTTTGTTTTGTATATATATATTTTGTTTTTTTTAATATATGTAGAGTTATATATACATATGTATATATAGAGTTACATATACACAATTCATATTATATAAGATACATATAAAATGGAAGTTTAAATTATCGCCATTTAATTAAAGTCATCATCATCATTAGATCAGCCATTAAGTGTCCACTGTTGAACATATGTCTCCCCTTTGGGAAGTTTTGCCAGTAATTGCCGCGCTTGGAAGCCTTGCCGGGTTGGCAAATTTAATAATGAATTAGTTTAATTAAAGTACGTGTACCAAATCATTGATTCTCTAGGAACGTTCAGGTTGAGACTAGAATTTCTTCAACATCTTTTCCATTTGGATGTGCTCCAAGTTCTTTTATTATCAATATCGATGACTCTTATAGCTTCACTAACGTTTAAATAGGGTGCACAAACTGCATTTTTAGTTTTTTTTTTTTTCTCAGTGAATCAAGTATCTATTCACTTTACTTTTTTATAATTTTACCGACTTTAAACTAATTTGCACGTGTCTTGTAAATTCATTTTTACAAGAACAGTTTTTTGTAATTTAATAATACTTATAAACTACAAACTTCTTAAGTAAGAATGTAAGAAATAATTTAAACTTAATTGCACGTTTCTCGTAAATTCAATTTTACAAGAACTGTTTTTTGTAATTCAATAATACTTATAAACTACAAAGGTTTTAAGTAAGAATGTAAGAAATATCTAAAGCACTATGTTTACCAACAAATTAAATTAAACCGAGTGACGGCGGTAGGCTCTCCCCATGTCACGTTGGATATGCTGTGAGCTTAATATGGGCACGTGGGTAGTTATATTCACCACATATATATGTCTCTGACTATCCTATTTGGGATTACAGTCGTAAGCATATTTATTTATAAGTTAAAATACTGTAACTAACATTTCGCGGTATGTTATTGTATTCAGTTGAGGAAAAATTAAATTAGTTATTTATTTATTTATTTATTTAACACTTTATTGCAGCAAGAATACAGGATTTAAGAATTTTCGATAAGTATAGTGTAGTACAAAAGGTGGTCTGATTGCTTAGCAATTAGTAAGGAAATAGTCTTATATTATTATATTATTTTATACGTATATAGTGTTAAGTTCGCCTTTTTTTTATATATGAATGAATTATTGAATGAATATACTTTATTTGTATTATACAATATAGGGAATAACCAAGACAATTAATAAGTGTAACGGTACAACTATATAAGTACTGTAAGGCGGTCTTATTGCTAGAAGTAATCTTTTCAAAACAACCTTAGGGTAATAGACTAATTGCTGTAGAAGTAGGTATGATAATATTGTATAATTAAGAAAACAAAACATTAAAGAATATTTTTTGTAAGATAAAATTGTAAATTTGTATATTTGAATTAGAAGTTTTATGAAGATATTTAGATAATTAATAAATATACATAATAATACTAATATTATTTAAATAAATAAATGACATTTCATTGTGTATAAATGAAATGTCATTTATTTATACTATACTGTTATAGATACAAGTAAAAACACTCATTTTCTGAGTTAATTTAGATAAAATTTACCATATATAGACTATAATTTGAAAACATAACACAAAAAGAGATAATATGTAACACGGGAATATATTAATATTAGTGTAGTAAATTACATCTGAATTTTTTTTTTCAGATTATGGAATCATCCTTCTCAAGATACCGTCTTCGCCAGCCACTCACTGCACCCTACATACCACAGTCGGTTGTCTTGGGAATGATGATTGCACAGCTAAGAGCCATAGTGTCATCAGACTACTTGGTCCAGTCAGGGATGTGATTGTCCGACCTGCTCGACATCATTATAGACCGGGCGAGACAAGTGAGTATAAACATTTTTTTTTATTAGAAGTTAGGTTCCTGATCGGACTTACCTCACTTAATAGACAATAAAATCTTTTATGAAACACGCTTACCTAGAAACGCTCGAGATACCGATTAAAATGATTTAAATATTATGTATGTTTTGTGATATTATATTTACAAAAAGCTGCATCTTGGTAAACTTAATAGAGAATTAAAAATGGTAGATATAATTGTCGTACGCACACTCATACGCACGTACGCACACACACACACGCATGCACACGCACAAATACATGCACGCGCAGAATCACATGCAAATTATTGAGTTGGTATTTTTTGGAATTTTTTTGGAGTTCTGATTTATCTGAATATTAAATTCATTCTTTATTCTATGAGCAAAAATCGATTTTAATCGTGATAAAACTATTATGAAACCAATATGAGCATAAGTAATCTCGAGTAAAAAAAAATCCTCGAAATCGGTTTACAATTGCCGAATATTAGGAATACAATGGGAGAAGTTTTTGTAAAATTCATATAAAAAATAATAATTATTCTTGCTACTAAGCAAACCATTATTTTTAATAAATGTATTTTATTTTTTTATTAAAACACCAACAAAGTATTTGCATATAAAATTGCGAATACAAAAATGAAGATAAAATGTTTTTCCGCACTGTGTTTGTTTTGTTGACATAACATTTTGCGTACTGCAAAAGGAGAGGAAACAGAATACACATTTCCAGTCAAATAAAATTAACCTCGTGTTGTTTTATTCCGGAAAGAATGGGTACTGAAATATTGAAGATAATTTACGGTTAATCCCTGAACAGGTATACGAAACTCACACATTATTATACAATATTAAGCAACAAGTATATATTGCACTGAAAAAATAAAAACAGCGTATTATATTATGATAAAATACACTTATTTTGTAGATACATTAGATAGAAAATATTTGAATTTCGTAGAATGCAGAATTGAATAAGTAGATGTTTCTTCACAACGAGAATAGACTGTATTCAATATAAAAAGAATGATAAAAATTGGTTCAGAATTGGAAAAGTTATCCAGTAACCAGGTTTGCCAGGTTTTTTGGAGTTTATTTTAATTATTAAGAGTTTATTGATATTATTTTTCCACGAAGTTACCTTCTATATCTAAAAAACCACAACACATGTTCATATCCGATTTCTATGCTTTTACATAAATTTTAAACGATTTTTTAATGAAGGAGTTTCTACTAGGTAATACGTTCAATTTTTTATGACTATGTTATTTATTTACGTAAAAATTAATTACGTCAATAGGTTTACATTCGGATTGGTCTTGTTTTAATTTTGTGATGATTATTCTTCAAAACAAATATCAAAGAGAAGAACAAATGTGACGACTGAAGAAATAAAATAAAAAAGAATAAATTGAGGACCTTCTTCTTTTGTGCATCACATGTTTCGAAACAAAATTGCAGTCTTTTTTTTTTTTTGATGGGTGAAAATGGTATGGTAACCCCGCCTGCGCTAACGGGATACGCTGGCGGAGCACCAGTGAAGGGTGATAGATGAGAATAAAAACAGGCCAGTTAGCCCATCATGATGAATTCATCAGGAATTAATCATGATAGTTTCCAGGAAGAACCGCGAGGAGGTCGACCTGGTTGGATATATTGCTAGCAATAGGATTCTCAGTCTCCATTACTAACAATCCCTTTCCCACCACAAAATTGCAGTCACGTTCTAAATTCAAATAGTTTCAATAGAAATATCTATGAAACATTAACTTTTAGATTTTCACTTTGCATAGTTTATGATTTAAAAGAGACGACAATTAATACGATTATTTAGATAGAAAAACATAAATTCTTAAAGTATATTACTATATTATCTGTCCTTGGGTTATCTCAACGTTTCGACCAAGAAGTCTACAATGAATCGAATTTCCGGATTTATGGGCTCAATTTCGTGTTTTTGTTTATACAGAAATCGGCCTAATAAATAGAACCTAATATTTGTTTCATCATAAATCCTACTATAAATATAATACTAAAAGTCCAAAAGAATGATATTTTAACATTTTTAATATTTTTGTTTATGTATTATGTAACTTTCACAATAAATTTGTTTTGTTGGGTCCCGAAATTTTCGAAAATATTTCATGGTAGGCCGTTAGGTTACACTATGGTCACGAGTAAACAATTAGTCTCTTATAAACCATCTACAAAACCTCTCGACGTTTATCGGCGTATTCACAATAAACTTTTTTTTGTAAACCAAAACGTGCTTCTTCAAGTTAAGCCGCGCATCCAAAAGCACTGATACTAAATTCTGGAATTTCAAACCAAAACCTTACTGAAGTTGTCCAACCGCTAAAACTTTCCCTTTATCGTTCAAGTTCGCTAACCCGGGTGTTACTCACAGTAATTAATTACAAAGCATCGTCCCATACATTTCGCTAACTACTGGTTTCGTGAACGTTTAGTTATAAATTAACTAGAAATTGCTGTTCAATTTCAATTTGTACAGCTTTGTACTATAGTAGTTATATTATATTATATTGTAGTTATATCACAATATAAGTAGTTCTTTATACTGTAGTCATAAACTGTATATATCTTTACCAGTTATTTTTATTAAAGATAAATATGTAATTTTAACTCTGCCTGCGTTATTAGTTTACGCTTGATGATAATTGAGACTGGTGTCAGATTAATCAGTTCATCGTGACAAATGCACCAGAAAATAATCTCGAAATTAAGTTTCCAAGCAAAACCGTGTGGAGATGGGTCTGATAGAATATTTGTTTGCAAGGGGTCGTTAGTCCCATTACTAACAATCGCCTCCGCCTAATACTAATATTTATATATTAATCCAATACTAATTATGTAACAGCTGTATCGGCTTGCTCCCTACCACATTGGATTCTAATATGCTCGGCAAAGATTATTAGTAATAAATAAAACACTTAATTGAGTCCGAAAATTCGGAATTTCATTTCATGGTAGACCCTCAGATTACACCGGCCGGTGTCACGAGTGTACTGACGTAGCGGTGTCATGTCTCCGCTTTCGAAGCAAAAGTATTTTCTTCTACCCAATCATTGACATATATCACACAAATTGTGTTTCAAACTATATCCTATACAACAGAACAATTTTAAAGTGTATGGACCCATTTATTTCTATTTTTTTTTGTATTAATTTTGTCATTTAGTGAATTTCATTTCTTATTTTATTATTATTTTAGCCATTAACTCAACTGAACACAAATCTTCCTCATAAGGGGAGTTTTGTCAGTAGTTGCCACGCTTGGCAGACGGGTTGGCAACCGCAAAGTTAGACTTTTACAGATGTTTTAAGAGGGACGCTGCTGCTCACCCACGCCCTCCTTTAGTCGCCTCTAACACCCACAGGATAAGAAGGGGCGGCCCATTCTGTGCCGAGGCATACACGGAATCTCATTTTCTTTTGTGGAATAAAATTTTATTTTTAATAATTTTTTTTATTATTTGCCTAATTTATTTCAAACAAATTCAATGGTTCTTTTGAACAAATATATAAATCTTACTTCCGTGATCCACACATCACAGTATACCTTTTCGATTAAAAATAATTATAAAAGTCAGCTCAGAACTGACTAGAATATAGGGTATATTCTATAATAATATATCTAATAGTGTTGAAAACAAATTAAAATAAAAAAAAATTTAAAACATTTTGTTTTCTAGTTGAATGGAAATTAATTCTTAATACTTAAAGATATACACAAAAAAAAAAATACAATTAAAATGAGAAAATCCTTGAATATTATTGAAATCCACTGAAAAGTCTTGATAAGAGAATAATGGATAAAAAAAAAATTAAAAAGCACAACTCATAAAAATACCCCGTGGACATAATTTCCGTTCGTTCATCTATAAACTCCTGAAAGAAATTAAAAAGTAATTTGTAAATAGAAAAAAGAGCCGCATACCAGATTAAAAGAAAAACGGACATTAGCATTTATGTGGGCATTACCTTAAGCATTAAAAGTTTTGATTGACTGAGTACTTTGTTGTAATTAGATGAAATAAAGCATAAGATAAGTAAACTAAATTTTATATTTAAAAAAAAACTCGAAAACATAAATAAGATGGAGTTACGACTTAAAAACATGTTAAGGTCTATATATGCAGGTTACTTATGGTAGTGTATAACTAATGCCATTGAATATTTATTATCTGATTCGCTCAGAAATTTATAATAAGTATTTTATAATTTTTATTAAAATTTGTAATTTTTATTTACTTTTTAATCCCATCTCAATGTGACAACAGCAGAGGTTGCTTGACTGTATTTTTTAATCAGTATTTTTTTTTAATCTCATAATCAACGCTTTGGTTATAAATAAAAAGATTAAAATAATATAAATTATGCGTTTTAAATCATAATATATTTTAATTAAATGAGCATTTTTCTATTTAGCAGTACTGCTTTCTATGCCACTGTGTTAGCTTGACTGGAAGAAATCTTTTTTATAAATAAGTTCGCCTTTGCTAATATATCATTAACTTCTTGTTATTGTATGTAACTGTATGTTTTAGTGCAATAAAGAATATATATATGTGAAAAACGATAATTACTTATTAACTATCATTATTTAGCTACATATAAAAGAGTGAAATGTAAATTTCTTATATAATTTAGCAAAAAAAAAATGCAATATAATTTATATTCTTTATTTAGTGTAAAGTTTGACTAGTATAGAATGCCATCTCGCATTAGGTTCGCCCTGTAAACATATTTTAATGTGTTTAAAAGTACAAATAAATAAATATAATATTTTTGTTCCAATGCTCTAATAAGTATGTAACAATGTCTCTACCATAATTCTCGTAAAAGCGGAACATACGAAAGTTTATTTGCCCTCGTATCGAAGTCTACATTTTATGTTTCTGTCTCAGTCATTAATTTTTACTTTGTTGCTTTACGTTTCGGTTTTATGTTTGTGACGTTAAGTTCCGATTAGATGCTCGTGAAGCGATTCTTAAATTTATGTTAAGCGGAATTATTGCATTACATATTTAATCAACAATATTACAAAGTCAGATAACTTTATTACATTGGTAGGTTTCACAAATAATTCTGTAGTGTTTTTTGTTACGTTATTCTTATTTACATTTTGTATCCCGTGTTACGGAGCGGGCGTTAATACGTACGGCACAGTGTCTTTGTGACTAATGTAGTTATTACCAATCCTAAAACGAAAACTGTAAATTAAGCTAAAGTTCCCGCAATAGACCTTTTTTATTTATTATTTATATATTTGTACAATATATATACTTGACTTTATATTTGCTATTTAATATTTAATCCTCTCCTGTAAAATTATCAGCATTAGTACTCGATCTCTAGTGAGGATAACTTTCTATATTTCTTTCGACATAAGTTGTATAATTTAAAGCCAAAAAAAAAATACAGTTATGGCATCTATACATATTAGGGATTAAGGAGAGCATAGTTTTGATTTCTTATCATTTCATCATCATCATTTGAAGGAAACAATAAAGCTAATTAAACACCTTAACATATGTATATTATAAATTGATGCTGACGTTGGTGATTTTATCTTATTGTAATATTATAAATTTTTAATACCATATTTTTGTTTCAGTAACATTCTGGATCCTGGCGCTCGATCACGACTTACGTTTAGTTCGAGACGAACTGGCATACGTGGCGCTCAGTGATCCGGCCGGCACGAAAGTCGCCATATGGGATCAGCTTTCCATGAACGAAGGTATTTTTTTTTCTTTCAATTTATAATGTAGTTTATTTGAATTCCTGCACAAAAAATTGTATTAACTAATATATCTGTTTGTATTGAATATATGTATTTTTTATACATAACTATGAATATTTAAAAAAAATGTATCAGTTGTTTATTTAGTATTCTAGTAATTCGTTAGGAGCACAGTTGATGTTATTTTTTTTATTTATTATTAATTATACAATCAATTTATTATCAATAGCATTAAATCTTTCATTCGTTATGTCATGGACAACTTCAAATAGTCTCATGGAACCTAATTCCGCTGAATCTTCACTAAATAGTAATTGATCTTAGTATTGAGTTAGACATATGTAAAAATCTTCATATCAAGTCCTTCAAGTGGTGAGTAGAGTAAGACGAGAGTCAATTCCACAGTCTCCTTCTAATTCACTTTCAAATACATTACCATAAATATATATATATATATATATATATATATATATATATATATATATATATATATATATATATATATATATATATATATATATATATATATATATATATATATATATATATATATATATATATATATATATATATATATATATAATTGTAAAAAAATTATAGACAGAGAATAGACATCCGAGTGACCCTTGTCAATTACAAAATAAATAAATAAATTCGTTTCCGAATTGGCAATAATATTGCGTAATATACGCAGCACGAAAATGTAGATTTTTAATGAAGTTATTTTGTATCTAATAAAAATTCATATTCATATCACTTCCTTTTTATTTGGGACAGGCTTACTAAAATGATAATATACATGTCGAAATTTTGTACTTTCCAAGTATACGTACATCTCTTGAGGGATCACGTTTCGTAAACAATAGAATAAGGTTCGCGTAATCTTATTCAGTCTAAGAGCGTTTTCTTGTAACTTTGTCGATGGATTCAGTCCGCCGTTGTACCTGACAGATTCAATTTCCGATGATCCTTAAAGTTTTTTAATATATTTCTGCATGATATATTTATAATACAAGCTTGTACACGTGATTTCGTTCGTGTGACCGAGATCAGCCACTAACCGGGATAAATAGTAGCCTACCAACAATTTGTGGATGGAAAAGGACATAAGTATCCTTTTCTGTTCCAAACAGGACTATATAAATAAACCCAAAACATAATAGATGAAAGATTATTTCATCATCATGATCTTAGCCGTCAATCTGCTAGCGTCAAGCCGTCAAAGCTGAACATAGGGTTATATAATTTTTATTGATACTTGCTAATCTCTTATCAGAGATAAGCTCGCCTTTGTTTATTACATTTAAAATTAATTGTTCTTAACATTATGTTTGTGTACAATAAAGAATAGTCTAATACTGTAAATGTGAGAGCTAGTTTATTTTTTTTAATAGATGATAATGAAATGGTAACCCCGCATGCGCTGTCGGTATACACCGGTGGGGCACCAGTGAGATATGATAAGTGAAAATGAAAGAGCAGGTCAGTTAGCCCATCGTGATAAATACACCTGAAATTCAGCACAATGGTTTTCAGGAGCGATAATATGAAGGTCAACCTGACGGGGTATATTGCTAGCAATGGGACTGGTAATCCACATTACTTATAATCCCCCCCTCTCGCTTGTGAGAGCTAATTAATTACTTCTTGGCATTTAACGACCAATCGTCATGAAAGGTATACGATTACTATTTGGGATGTAAAAGGACTTAGGTTAATATTTGTCTTGATCAGTCAATATCCTGATTATATCATATCCTGAGATGTCGGTAGGGGCCGCCCTAGACGGACGTATGTTGACCAAATAGGCGACGTGCTGAAAAAGGGTCAAGTTAAAAGTACTCGTAACCGGCGAGCGTGTATGAAAAGATTGATGAATGTGGAAGAAGCGAAAGAGGTTTGTTTGAATCGAAGCATTTGGCGTTCCATTGTTTCTGCCTGCCCTAATAGGAGACAGGCGTGACAGATATGTATGTATGTATGTACCATATCCTGATTGTTAGAAATATTAATAAATTTATTAAGAATCTAATTATTAAAAGATAAGCAACACCGAAGGAGTCCTATTCAAATCAAGCGAGGTGTTGAAATATGATAACTTAGTTAATAAAGTCTTTAAAATCCTTGAAGTTGACATTATGAAAAGTTTTACAATTACAACTACAGTTGGTATTAAAGACATCAAAATTTACTAAGAAACCAAGGAGCTTGAAACCGTTGCTATCAAAGCGTGAACTCAATTAAAGTCTACATTCATTAACTTTGGCTCTCCGCAAATGAGCTAGTGAAGTTAAAGTTATCATTCGTATTAGTTACGTAGTTTTGAATTATTGCCAGGCAGATAATTGTTGCAAATTTTGTCTCTATGATCGCTTTGTAATATTGTCTTTTGATTTACCCAAAGTTTCAGGGCGCAATATATCTTATTAATGTAATAAAATTGTACATAGACCACGTTTGTACATGAGGGTTATGTAATAAAAATGGTTTTGGTATCAATTGGCCTTAGCAAGAGAGAAAGATCTCAATAAGACCAATAGATAATAAAACTGTATATTTGTTCTAACATCATGCAAAAACTACTGCATCAAATTGGTTGCGGTTTTTACAGTAATGTTTCTAAAGCTAAATTAAAATCTAATGGATATTTTAACTTGATATACCATCTAGAAAGTCTACTTCGTTGGTATTTATTCCATATTATAAAAAGCTAGTAGTCTATAAATATATTATGGAATACTAAACCTTAATTTTTATGTCAATTTGAATGTAAGGTGCAATATTTATACTGTATCATTTTTAATTAACAAGCTAGTTTCGTGTTTATAAATACCTATGTCCCTTAAGAGATCCGACGTTAAGGTAGATATATTTACAAGGCATAGATGTTTGTGATTACGTTCTATCATAACATATCGTAGTATATTGGAAGATTGTATATATTGAGTCTTGGTAGATATATTTATTGTGTGAATACATTATTGTTAAAGATTCTATACGTTTCAAAATATCCCTTACCTTCACGTAGGTTCTATAATACGTATTTCTGTTATTTCATTGTAGTATTTTATATATTTCTTATATCCTGTACATGACTTTCTGTGCACGAGAAGCCCGTCAGGCCGCATATGAAATACTGTTCTCACTATATTGTGGGTAAGAGATCGCCAAAGTACCGACTCCTTCCGTTGCATTCATGGTCGGGCATTTCATTATATGTTCTTTTTTATCGATAGTCAACGCCTTACTGTCCGACTTGATCCACTGAAACTGCGCAGAGATGTTGCATCTCTGTGCATCTTCTACCGAATATATCATGGGGAGTGTTCTGAGGAATTGTTCGGATTGACAATCTGCTGCTGATTTTCAGAGAGACGCCACAAACTAAAGTCTCTCCCAATCATCTGGACGAGTGGCGGTCTTCAACACGTGCGAAAGGGGAGGCACTTTCTTCCACCACAGCCATTCTTTGGAATCAACTTCCAGCAAAATGATAATTAAATAAAACCCCACGATATCATATACATTTTAAATAAATAAATATTTATATTATTAGAAAAAACACTTGTATTCTTCCACAAAAAGTTACATTGATCATGGGCGGCGGTTTTTCCATTTAAGACTTTTTTTCAGGTTATTTACATTACCTCGTTTCTCCCTGTGTTGTAAAAAAAAAAACTTGAAGAATAATGGTTTTTCTAATAATTTTCTATCTCACTATATTTGTCTGCCTGTAAGAAGGCAGCTTGCAGAGCTTGCAGCTTGCTTTAAGAAGCAGGCTGTTTGTCTGCCTCTTTAAAAAATAAACCCACCATTGCTATTGGCGATGGTCCATAAACATTTCATTATGTGTTGTTTTTTAGAAATGAATAAAAAATATAAAAAAACATTTACATACATGTGTTTGCATGGCTGTGTTTTGGTTTGAAAGGTGGGATATAACGTTAATTTACTGGGTACGGAAGAATAACATCTGAGTCCTCAGAAATGGCAACGCATGGGGGGTATCATGGGCGAAACAGTATACTCTGTTATGTCCATGGTACTGCTCATGTCTATAGGCGACGGTTACCACTTTCCATGAAGTGGGCCGCCAGCTTGTTTGCCATTCTAAGTTGTATAAAAAAAGGCTTTGTCAGTAGTTGCCACACTTGGCAGGCGTGCTGGCAAACACATTTAGATTTTAGTGACGTTTTAAGAGGGACAATAGTGTCCCTATTCCTTAACCATTAAATTCCCTTAATCGCCTTAATACGACACTCACGAGAAAGAAAGGAAAGGAAACCATATCAATGTGTATACAAAATTCCATCAACTATTATTAACATATTATATAAATATTCTTAAATTACTTACGAGTACATTGCTGGGTCTCTAGTGACCATATAAGTCAGCAGCTGTGAATTTGCTTCTAACTTTTAGTTTCCATTCGTTATTATCGCGAGGTGGCGAGAAAAGTTCAAACTGCATTGGTAGAGAGAACAATCTCTCTAATTGCAAAGTAACTTTTGTTATTGTGGCATAGGGAAGTCAGTAGAAATATTATTATAAGTGGAAACAAACTTTTATTTCTCGTATTGGTAACATGGAATAGTATTCAGTTTTCATTGTTCCAGATAAATATTTTTATTCGTGAAACAAAGCTATGAAAATTGCTTGGAACATATACTTTATGTTTATGTGTAGTATTATAATGTTTCACAGATTTCTATATTCCCTGTACTGATTAATACTTACAATAACATATCATTAAACAGGACATACTTTTCTGTCATCGAATTATTTAAAATGATTACAATCGCTATATGCTTCTACGTTCTAAAAGAATTTTGAAAAGGCAATATTTATATTTGAATTTATTCCAATTTTTGGGCATATGTCTAACGATCCGCACTCATTCTAGCAGCCTACGCTCTCTTGGGACATAATCAGATACGGCATGAGTGGGTTTCCATGGGTCTTTTATGTTGTATATAATTTCGCAATAATTTATATTT